CCCCTGAGCGCAGGCAGTCCACCTGCCTTTGGGCTCCCAAAGTGCTAGGATTATAGGCATGAGCCGCTGCTCCTGGCCAGGAAAGAATTCTTTCTATAGCTAATTCACATAATTTCCCTGAGAGGACACACGTGGACAGGGCCACAGTCCCCTTCACAGCTACAACAGTGCTGCTGGGGCTGTGCGCTGGCTCACCTGGGAGCGTGTTAGAGCTCAATGGATGTACAGTAGCAGCACTGGTCGTCCAGAGGACACTTGCCAGTCGGGGACCCCACTGAAGTATGTGCTGACGCTGTTTAAGAAGCCAGCTGTTGTCTTTGTGCCTGGCATGTGGTGCCCATGGCTGAGGTCTCTGTGCAGAGCTGGGGGCTCAGGGAACCGTGTTCCACACTGTAGGCCTCCTTGTATGCCCTTGAGATTCAGGGTGACCTTTGATGTGGCTGCTTGCCTGCATCTGTGCTGGGCTGTGCTGTGCTGTGCTTGGGAACCCCGTCCTCCTCTTACTCATCCCTACTTCATACCTGTCGTCATTATTTTAACACAGACACGTCATCTGCCTCAGAAGATGAGGGCTCTTTACGGCGACCCGGGCGACTCACCTCCACTCCGTTCCAGAGCCATTCCAGCGTCGAGCCCTGGCTCGACCGGGTCATTCAGGGCTCGTCCACCTCATCCTCTGCATCCTCCACCTCATCTCACCTGGGAGGGAGACCCACCGCTGCTCCCAGTGCTGCCGCCACACTGGGGGCCACCGTTGCCACTGCTGTCACAGGCCTCCCGGCTCACACCCACATAGGTCAGTAATGAGCTGCTGTGGCCCCCACTCCAGCACAGCAGAGTATCCAATATAGACAGGTGCCGTGCCCTGGCAGCAGCACCATTCCTCTGCACAGAGCTGGAGGGCACCTAAGCAGTGGCTCCTCCCAGCACAGTTAGCTGCAAACCTGAGCTCTCTAAGTGGCTGAGGTCAGAAGGCCCACATATCCCACGTGACTCATTGAGACAGTGACCTATTTTTGGCTTTAAAATTGTACTTGAGGCTCGGCGCCTGTGGCTCAAGCGGCTAAGGCGCCAGCCACATACACCTAAGGTGGTGGGTTCAAATCCAGCCTGGGCCCGCCAAACAACAATGACAGCTGCAACCAAAAAATAGCCAGGCGTTGTTGTGGCGGGCGCCTGTGGTCCCAGCTACTTGGGAGGCAGAGGCAGGAGACTCACTTGAGCCCAGGATTTGGAGGTTGCTGTGAGCTGTGATGCCATAGCACTCTACCCAGGGGAACAGCTTGAGGCTCTGTCTCAAAAAAAAAAAAATTGCACTTGAAAGGAAGAAGGGTGATATTTGGTGACTTCATCGTCTACATAAATCTTTGACCTTTTGGACAACACAGCTGTGTTGCTAAACTTTTGCCCATCCAGACCCACCCCTTTTTCATCTAGAAAATGTCCTTTTGGGCTCGGCACCTGTAGCTCAGCAGCTAGGGTGCCAGCCATATACACCTGACCTGGTGGGTTTGAACCCAGCCTGGGCCTGCCAAATAGCAGTGACAACTACAACCAAAAAATAGCTGAGCGTTGTGGCAGGCACCTGTAGTCCCAGCTACTTGGGAGGTTGAGGCAAGAGAATTGCATAAGCCCAAGAGTTTGAGATTGCTGTGAGCTATGATGCCATGGAACTCTACCGAAGGCAAAATAGTAAGATTCTGTCTCAAAGAAAAAGAAAATAAAAGCAAAGAATAGAGAATGTCCTTTTGGTAACAGAGTAGCTCTTCAGCTTCTGTGATTTGGTGATCCTATGTCCTTGTGGCACGTGGGCCTCCCTGGGCATCCCAGAAGTGTGCAGTGTTTCTGCATATTGTGTTGCCCCATCCTGCTCTTGGTGTGGATGCAGGGGCAGCAGGTACAAGGCAGTGGTCGATGCACACACCTAGTGGTGATCATGATGCACCCTTGCCTGGCTGCCCCTAGTCCTCTCTGCCTTTCCTCTCAGCATTGTGCACAGTTGCACCTGGGTGGCTCCTGAGGCAGAGGGCTGGTGCTGCAGCTATGGTCTGGCCCTTCTTCCTCCAGATACCAGAATAAATAATTCTTCAACCTGGAAAGATGGCAATTGAAGTTACTTTTAAAGGTGCATGGATCTTTTCTAAACCATGCAGTTCTTTGAATTATGTTCACCTTTCATTATTGGAAATCCTATTTGTTAACAAAAATAGTAGTGTAGTTAGCTGTATGTTGCTGGTATGTGAAGGCCACATACTTTTTTTTTTGAGACAGAGCCTCAAGCTATCCCTCTGGGTAGAGTGCTGTGGCATCACAGCTCACAGCAACCTCCAACTCCTGGGCTCAAGTGAGTCTCCTGCCTCAGCCTCCCAAGTAGCTGGGACCACAGGTGCCTGCTACAACACCCAGCTATTTTTTGGTTGTAGCCGTCATTGTTGTTTGGCAGGCCCAGGCTGGATTTGAACCCACCACCTTAGGTGTATGTGGCTGGCGCCTTAGCCACTTGAGCCACAAGCACCAAGCCCACATACATTCTTGCATTAATATCTTAAAATACAGTCAGTGTCATTAAAGACTCTGATCCTAAAAACCCTTCCTTTTTTTCCCCAGATGAGTGAGGAAGACGAAAAGTTGGGTGACTTATAACTTGCTTGTAATCACATGACTGGCATAGCGATAAAGCCAGGGCTAATACCAGTTTTCTTGATTCCTGTTCATTGTCTTTGTTTGTAGTTGATTTTCTGCTAAAATTGAAACAGTGAGCACCCACACTGCACCTGTGACAGGCAGGTGTTTGTGATGGGGTCCCCTTAGGTCACCCCAGGTGGGCACTGGGCTTGTGTGCTATTATTTCTATGTGAATCTTGGTCACTATTTAGTGGACTGGGGCCTAGGCAGGCATGTTCAGGGCCCACAGCTTCTGTCTCAGGACCCTCTGTGGAGCACGTTACTGTTGCTTTTTATTTTTTATTTGTTTGAGTCAATGCAGAAAGTCTGCATATTTCTGTTGAACATATGTCTTTCTCCTGCGATATAAGTCTAAAATGAAAATACACAATGCTCACTGCTTGTACACCATGCTTCCAGCTCTCAGAGGAACTGCCACGACTGACATGGTAGCAGCGAGGCAGCATTTTCCATGGGAAAGTTTCCTTTGGAAAGCAGCCTATTATACAGCTTTTGTAGCTTTTCTGAGTGTCCTACCTATGGCCGGGGCTGCTGCCCACCTTTCCTCAATGATGTTTGCAGCCCACAGCTGGAAAACAGCTTTGCTGCTTATTTTCCTTCTTTGCTCATCATGGAGATTTAACTTTGTAGAGACACACAGCTCCAGTGTGACAGAAGAGTAGCGTTCAGTGCTCTGTTACCCTGCTGTGGTCTTCTGCACAGGGTGCAGGTGGGTAGAGCACCTGTGGTTTGGGTTTGTGAGCCATCCTCAGTGATCTGAGCATCATCTCCTGGTGAGGTGTTGGGAATAAAAGCATACTCAGCATGAAAAATTAGCCACAGTTCAAAATGTTTAACCATATGGCCCTCTACCTTCCAATGGTTGTGGTTATCTTCCAACAAAGTACTTAACTCTCACATGAGTTTGAATTAGATGTTTTCGTTCTCCGAAAAGGACCTGTCTATAAATATTAAAATACAGGTTTATTACCTGTGTTGATGCCTAACTTCTACAGTTGCATCTGTACTGATCTCTTCATTTCTCATTTGCTTGTCCTAACATAGACATTTTATGGTTAATTCTGGTAAATTTTTTAAAAATCTTAAGTCAGGATCTACTTAATACTTTACTGCAGATTGTAGTTCTCATGCACTAACCCTTTGCTGGACATAATTGGAATTTCTAAATCTCAAAATATTCAATTTCCCTCTAATTATTCCAGAAATTATCCTTTGTGTTAGTTTTTAAAACTAGGTAATTCTTCAGTTTGAGCTAAAGAAAGGAGTATGGAAAAAGGAATAATTTTTTTTTTTTTTAAGACAGTCTCACTATGTAACTCTTAATAGAGTGCGGTGATGACACAGCTCACAGAAACCTCAAACTCTTGGGCTTAAGTGATTCTCTTGTCTCAGCCTCCCAAGTAGCTGGGATATAGGTGCCTGCCACAACGCCTGGCTATTTTATTTTGTTGCAGTTGTCACTATTGTTTAGCTAGCCTGGGCTGGGTTCAATCTCACCAGCCTTGGTGCATGTGACTGGTGCTGTAACCACTGTGCTATGGGTGCTAAGCCAAAAGGAAAAATATTTTAAGTAAAAAAATTTGAGAAAGACTACATTAGGTAAAAGTAATACTTTTAGTTTTGGATCAAGGAAATCTACTATATAAAACATTTTGACATAATTATAAATACCTGTATTTAAAAGCGATACTTTTATTTATGGTAGCTCATTTTTATTTTGATGTAGTTTATCTTCATTTTTATGCAGCTATTTTTTAAACTACTTTGTAGTGTGTAAGTTACCATGTATTCCTGCTTTTCCACGTATACTTTTAAAATCATTTATTGTTTTTGGAAGAGTAAGAAAACTTCTTTTAAGTTAAAGAACCTCCTGGGGATATACTTTAAAATGCTGATCTGGTCAGCATCAAACTTTTTCAAGCATTGTGAAACTATCATTAAAGTTTTAGATTTTCTGAAAAGTGCATTCTCCTATATAAATAGAGTTTGTTGTGTTTTGTTTCCATGTAACTAACTTCATCTTTCTACATATCTAAAAAGTTCTTACTTTGCATTGTACCATGAGATGATAGGCTATCAGAATTTGAACATTTAAGGTGTTTAGGTGCCACGGTGGGACTGGCAGGCATATCCAATAAAATACTAAACAGTTTACCAGTGTCCACCAACACAGGTTAGTGTTGGTTCCTGTGGGTGTCTGTGGGCTCTGTGTCATGGTGGACACAATTTCCTATAGGTGTAAGATGTGTGCCTTTGCTAGTGGTAGACCCAGTTATAACAATAATCCTGCAGCTACTGACCGCTGGCCTGCATTCTGAAGAGATCAGTGTGCTGTACCATGAACATCAAACATGAAAGTGCATGTGCAGACGCTGGACGAATGACTTTTTAAGTCTCACTTTATTGCCCTCGGTAGAGTGCCGTGGAGGTGTCACACAGCTTGCATCAACCTCCAACTCCTGGGCTTAGGCGATTCTCCTGCCTCAGCCTCTCTTGTAGCTGCACATAGTATTTACTCTTATTCCTTTGAACATGGTGACAGTTATGCTGATGCCTACTTGGAAGCGGTTTTGCTCACTTTGATCCCATGTGAGCAGGTCACCAGGTCCTGTTCCCTGGCTGTTTGAGCCTGCTGTTGGCTGCTGCTGCTTTTAAACATGGCCTATACCAGATGTTATGCTAACCTCAACGTTATGCTAATATACTGTAAGAATTTTCATTGTGGTCTCTTCGTTTTGTAGATTAACTTTTAACTAGCAGTGGAGACAGTTTAAATTTTGATTTTGTAGTTTTATTCTTTGAGACCTACAAAGGTATAGCATCCAACATACTTTTTGGGGGATTGGGAGTCTGCCTATTTTTTCATAATGTAACAAAAAAAAATGTTCCAATGAGGACTAATTTCAAATTTGTTTGTGCTTCCTTGAGGGGAATTTCTGAACTGAACTCTCCTCAGGTTGCTGTGGTTTACTCTGTGCCTATGCCGGTGTCTGTGCTAGAGCTGGTGCTCAGGCTAGATCCAGCTGACAAGTCACTGTGCATGCAGACCTCCACACCACACATCTGGAAATCACAGGGTGCCAGTTTGCCTTGGGCCACCAAGGAAAACAGTTAATCGGAGTGCACACTCCCTGCTTAGAGCTTAGCTAGTAGAAATATAGACTCATCGGGTTTGGATGCAGCTTAATACTTGTGTGACTTACGGCCACTTTATTTTGGTATTTCCAAGCAGATCTGCACTCTGCCCCTCCTGACGTCACCACAGGCCTGGTGGAGCATTCGTACCGTGAACGTCCACAGGTGGCTGCTATGAGAGGTGTTCCTCAGGGGTGTGATGGGAGCATCCTACAGACCGCAGATGGTGAGCATACCTCTCTCTTTCTCCTTTTGAGAAAGCGGAGCAGAGTCTCTCTTTAGGTACTGAACATACCTTGTGTATTCACTTTAGCAAACCTAAACCAGTTTTAATCAACCATTGCAGGTATATGGAAACCAGCATGGCACCTAATGTTATTATAGAAAGCATTATGTAGATAAATAATTGGAAATACTTATGGAATTGGTCAAATGGGAAATAAATTGCATAGGGAGGGGGAAAACTTGCAAATTTAGATTGGATGCAGAAGGATTTTGGATCTACAATGTAGTAGGAAAATGAGTAGCTGTTGAGACTAGATATCCTTGCCTTGTTTCCAATCTTAGGGAGAAAGCACTTGTTTTTCCTTCCTCCCGTCCTCCATTCCTCCCTCCCGTCCTCCATTCCTCCCTCCCTTTCTTTCTACTTTCCTTCCTTCCTTCTGACAGAGTCTAGGTGGGGTGCTGTAGTATCATAGTTCACAGCAACTTCAAACTCTCGAGTTTAAGTTATCCTCCTGCCTCAGCCTACCCAGTAACTGGGACTACAGGCACCTGCTACCATGCCCAGCTAGTTTTTCTGTTTTTAGAAGTGGAGTCTCACTCTTGTGCAGGCTGATCTCAAACTCCTGAGCTCAACAATCCTGCCTCTGCTTCCCAGAGTCCTAGGATTATAGGTGTGAGCCCTGCCATTTTTTCATTTCTCAATTGTGATCTTAGGTATAAGTTTTTCATAGATGTCTTTCATTAGGAATTGAGAAATTTCCCTTGTTTGTTTTTTCCCTCAGAGACAAGAGTCTCACTGTATTGCCCAGGCTGGAGTGCAGTGGCATTATCTGAGCTTATTATCACCTCAAACTTCTGGGCTCAAGTGATCTCCTACCTCAGCCTTCTGAGTAGCTAGCACTACATACAGGTGTGTAGCACAAGACCCAGCTGATTTTTAAAGTTTTTATAGAGGCAGAATTTTACTGTATTGCCTAGGCTGGTCTTGAACTTTTGGCCTCCCAAAGTGCTGGGATTATTAGCCACACCTAACCCCTCTGTTTTTCTTTTATTTTCCTGAAAGTTCTTTTTGTTTTGTTTTGTTTTGAGATAAAGTCTCACTTTGTCATCCCTGGTAGAGTGCCCTGGCATCATAGCTCACAGCAATCTCTAACTCTTGGGCTCAAGTAATTCTTTTGCCTCAGCCTCCTGAGTAGTGGGACTACAGGTGCCCACCACAACGCCCAGCTATTTTTAGAGATGGGGTCTCGCTGTACCTTAGGCTGGTCTCAAACTCATGAGCTCAGCCAATCCACCCACCTCGGCCTCCCAAAGTGCTGGGATTGCAGGCGTGAGCAACTACACCCAGCCAGAGACCTTCCTGAAAGTTTTTTATCATGTTTTTCATCAAATGATTTCTTTGACCTAATGAAATGATCACATAGTTTTTCTTTTATAGTTTTTTCATAATAGTGAGTTACAGTAATACCTCCATAGTCTGCCACCTCCTTATGTTGACTACCTTCTCAAGTTGACCTAATTTTCATGCACTGGACATGCACCGTGTGTGTGTCAGTACAGCAG